TGCAATACAGATGGTCTTCCATCATCGGTCTCTAGTAAGTGAATTTGTTCGTGGTCAACTTGAACATATCTCCAACATGTGAGATTCCACTGGTCTCCATCTCGTCTCCCTCATAACCAGTCGAAACCAGGCTCTGATACCACTGTTGGGAAATTGGTTCCCTAAATATCGGTTAAGAAGCCTTTGCAGAAGTCCAACGTCGAGCTAGGAGCTCGGCTCTTTAAACAGAGGTCGGCCTGAATCCCCAGGTCGCCCAGCGTAGTGAAAAAATGAAAAAATGCATAAGGGAGAGAGAAAGAGAACACGAGCAGATTTTAACGTGGAAAAACCTTCTCCAATGTGAAGAAGTAAAAACCTACGGGACACTAGTCCAGAATCAAACTTTCATTATGAAAATAATGAGTTACAAAAGATCAAGCATCACTAACAATGGTGGTACCTCACCTACAATGGTGGTTTTCTTTCTAAATTACCTAAGAAGGTATAACACTCAAGCTTCTCCCTAGAGGTGCTCACAAAATCAAAGCTTTGAGCTTTTCACTCAAATCTTACAAGTCGACTTTTTTTCTTTTTCTTTTTCTTCTTCTAACCTACCTCTATCCCACAACTAATGTATTTATAGGGGAAGGAAGAAGGTTTAGAGTTTAGGATTTTTCAAATCCCTCAATGGGCTTTGGGCTTAGTATTAAGGAGGAAGCCCAACAACTAATTACCCATTTTGGGACATATCAGGTCCCCGGGTATCTCCATGACCCGAACAAGATAATAGACGTGTACCAGTATGAAATTAATCTTGAGTCAAGTGAGATGATAATTATCAAATTTGACCCCAAAGAGGTCGCAAAACGAGTAATCCACCCTGCCCTACCTCCAACCCATCTTAAAATGACCCAACTCGTTTCGCCCCACTTTTGAAAGTGGGTTAAAAATTTCAACCCATTCTAACCTGTCTTGCCTCGCCAACCCACGAACATATTAGAAAAGTGAATATTTTTTCAAGAATTATACTCCTCATAGATATAAAAAGTATCAAATGAAGACAAAAGAGATGTAAAAAAAAGTCATTAATTAATTTTTTTTTTTAAATTAAAAAACCAAACCGACGAGTCAACCCATCTCGTTGCGAGTTAAACTCGCTTTTAAGCAGAGCGGGTTGGAAATCTCAACCCAACTCATCGTTTGTGGCGGGTTAAACGGACCAATCCAACGGGTTGTATTTGTTTTGCCATCTCTACCCCAGTTCTTTCCAGGATTCAAACCTTTATTTTTATTTTTTTGACAATTTGTTCGTCTTGGTATTCATATTGCCACTTAAGTCAACCCTTGGAAGGTTTAAGTTGCTATATATTTACCCTCCTAAGACTATATTTTAGGCACCAGAAAGATGTGCTCACGTAATCTTGGACTTGGTTACAGATTTCTTGGAGAATAATTATGGATTTAATTGGTGCTTGTTAATTAATTTCCTCCTTTATCAAGGTTATATTTTTTTTCATTGTTTGGACGGGACATGTGGGCTGTTAAAGGAGAAATTCTTGCTTATTCTAAGTACGTGAACTTCTTTTCTTATGCTGATGAATGCAAGACAAGTGCATATCATGTAAGATTTGACACTGTTGTTATACATTGTCATACAATTTCTGGCCCAGCTTATGTATTTGCCTTATATATGCAAAAAAATTGGTTTGTGATGACTTGGCCAGCGGAAACTACATATTTATAGAGCGTATTATGCCCCTAAAAATGGTTTTTTTGATCTTAGAATCTAGTGGATTCAAGAATAATGGAGCTCTTCTTTTACTTCTTGGAAAAACTTAGAAAAAATATAATATTTCCTTAATTTGTTTTTCCAAATATATTTATAAACCCCTCTGTTTACATTACGCACCACCCCTTATCCTCTATTTTGTAATAAATATCTTGAGTTTGAATAAATCTTTAAATTTTCTATAATGCATATATCACAAGCACATAAATTATAGGGTTATATTTATCTTATGTTGTAGGGAAATGATTATCTCATGTTATAGAAATAAAATTACAAGTGGGATTCACATGTAAAAAAAGAGAAAAAAAAATAGATGTGGGACTCATCTTCTCTTTGTGTGTGTAGAAAATTTGTTTATCTTATGTAACATAAGATAAATATAACCCTAAATTATAACACAATAACACATGATTTACTTGACTGTATTTATATTCATTTTTTTGTAACTTTTTTATTGCTAACATCACGTATCCATGTGTTATAATTTATATTGGTGCATTATGTATTGGGAAAATATACTCTTATGTTGTATGAGAGAATTTTTCTCTCCTCCACATACATCGATTTTCGTGTTACTTTTTTATTCTTTTTTTATTCTTTTTCTATATTAGGTGAGTCTCACACATGATTATCTCTATTGCATGAGAGAGTTCTCTCCTATTGCATGAAATTAATAAAGCACTTATATATTACAGAAGAACTAAAAATTTGTCGCTCGAGGTCACCATGGCCTTTTCAGTGATGGTCCATGGATCCTCACGTGGCATAACTTACCACTCAATTGAGCTATATGATCACCATTAACGACCAATATTTGCAATGATTTATAAATTCCCCCTTTAAAGGATCTTAAGGTAAGTCCTAGTTCTGGTTGAAGATACCAAAAAATCAACTAAATGCCATTTGCAAACCACTTGTACATCATCTTTCACATACATTATTTAGTCAATTAAGTGTGACTTACATGTTATATTATCTTATATCAAATTAATGATTAAAAATGTTTAAAAAGAGGTGTGTACTTCGTTTTGTACGTATATCTTTGCTTCTCTCATACGAGAAATGCTTTTTGCAAGGCTTGGTAAAGTTAGGTGATCAGCAAAATTGTGCATTGTAAGAAAAGTTAAGTTCAATTAAATTTTTTGGATACAATGTGGCACTATGCTAAAGTACTTTGCATAAAGAAGTGTACAAATAACCTACAGTTTCTTGTATACATGCAAAACTAAACCCGATTGTACCCAAGAGTAGCTTGGGCCTTGGTGCTTCCACAATGAAGTGGACAACTTAATGCTGGTTGATCTTGAAAAGCATTTGAATTTTTTTTTTCTCTATCAATTTATATTAAGTAAACTACCTTTAAAGGTATGTGAAGCATGCCACTTTTGTTTTAGGGTATTTATTTTGTCATGTTACATGAAGGAAATTCCTATCATGCAATACTAAGGGTCTGTTTGGTATGACGTATAAGGCCTGATAGTATATGCTTATACTACATGTTATGACATTTTCAGTAGTTTGATATGACCATCGTATAGTATAAGCTTATACAGCAGAATCTCTTAATACATTAAAACGATGTATAACTTAATCCGGCATAAGGGAGGGGGATTAGGCCTGATAAGAGGATAGTGTATTAACATCGTTGACCAATGCAATTCTCAAATATTAATATATTATTTTAATATTAATATATTAAATAAAAAATATTTGTAATATATTAATGTTTAAAATATTGAATATTTTTATTTTTATAAAAATTAATTTATGTTTTGGACACACTAATCAATAATTTTTTATAAAAATTAATATCATATGACATTTTTTGAAGAATTATATAAATTCTTTATTAAAGGATATTTTTATCCTATATAATATTATACAGTGCATTACCAAATATTAGATGATATAATCTTATAATCTTATACAATATATTATTTTATACAATACCATGTTAAATGCTGGATAATATTAAAATTCAATCAGGTCTTATATAATCAGGCCTTATACTATCAGGTCTTATACTATCAGGCCTTATCCTATACTATACACCAAACATGCCCTAAAAGACAAAAAAATAATAATAATAAAATAGGATAAGATACTTTGTTCAATGATTTTGTTTTGTCTTGTCTTAACATAACCAAATTATTTTTCCTACAAGATAACTCTTATTTATCCTTTTGTTTTATGTGCAACATAGCAGTTAGATCATTGTAATAGATAGATATCCTTCTAGGTCTAATAATAGATAACACGTCATTTTACAAACAAATTCACAGAAATCAAATGAGATGACATCAATCACTACATGTCTGAACAACACAAGGTTTATGACTCCATGTTAGTTTGGCTTCTCAATTTTCACGAACTGCCTCAGCCATGTTCACACGCAATACCCCATAAAATGTAACGGACGGGAACTACACATGCAATTCACAATCCCTTCATTTCCTGACATTTCAATTTATCTGGAGAAGCCAGAGAATAGTTGAAAAGTATAAGAAAACTTGGTCAAGAACTTGTCTTGGTCAAGAACTTGTCATAAACTATGGTATTTTTCAGAATAACCGGTGGAGAGATAGTGCCCGAGATAGAAATGTCATTCTCAGAAACCATTTTTGATCTGAAAGAGAAGATTCAAGCGGAATTGGATGTGGAAGTGCATAGACAAAGTGTATGGTATAACACCAAAGAGTTGAGAGACCTTGAATTCATTGTAGACTATGGCTTCTGTAGACATGAAACACTTATCCTGAGAGTCACCCCATTACCACCACAAATGAAACTCCACCTTCTGGTGAAGCACACTGGCAGCAACGGGTACGTGAGGGTGAAGGAAACAGATCAGGTCTGTGACCTGCGCAGGAAAGTTGAGAGATATTGGGGCATTCCTCTAGAGAATTTCACCCTTTATCGTCTTAATGTAGAAATGGAGGATAACCATCCTCTTTATGCATATTATATCAACGAGGCTTCTGAGGTTGAGCTCTCTCTTTTAGTTGAACCTCGTTGATTTGCAAGCCTCTTCCATTAGGGATGAAAATGGTGGTATGGTTGGTTATATACTACGTACCCCGTTAGTATCTAGACATAGACACGTAAACTGTGGGGTTTGGTCAAATTTTTAAGTCTAGATATGAAGCATTTCACTAAAATTTGTCAAATGAATGAAACTTTACGTTATAAAACTAACCTACGTCAACCTCAAATAGAAAGTACTCGGATGAAAACATTTCATTTCATATTAAGAGCCGCAAAATTCAATCGAAAGAATACAAATTCACCTTACACATATACAAAATACCATTTTTCACCTACAAGTGTTCTCATTTGTATAATTGTATAAGCCTCACCTTTTTTAATACTTCAATTTTCTTCTGCAAACTGCCAGCCATTAGGCCTCGCATATACAAAAATTGTCTTCTGCCAATTTTGTCGTCAAAAGCTCGCTCTGGGTATTAGCACTGCTGTTAAAAACGTAGCCAGACAAGGTCTCAGCCATGTGAATGAACTGCATAACCTTGTTGTCTCCTCATCTATACAAGCAAGTCCACATAGGCATCAAGTCCTTGATTGACAAGGCACCGCTTGAGCTTGAACAATGCTCGGCTCTCCAACTGACGTACCCTTTCCTTGGACAAACCAAACATGTCTCCAACATCCGATAAAGATTTCTGTTCCACAAATCTTAGCCGGATTATCCTCCTTTCTTTGGGCCGTAACATACTTAGGAGGTAGAGCACATGTCGCCTCATAAGTTGTTTTGCAACACTCACATCTGGGGTCTCAATTGCGGAGTCGGCAGTAATCTCCTGCAATTATAAGAAAAAGATGGTTAATTATGTGTGGAGAATGGTCATATTATGTTGCCTAAAAAAGAGTAGAGGATCCATTCTCAACACAATTGACATCCACCAACATCAGGAGACTAGCTAAAACAAAATTTACGACAAAGCAACATGGCAATAACTTAAAAATCCAGTGCTGTCGCATTGCAGCGGCTGCTAATACACAAGTATAGGATAACATGACTAAGTTATGCTTGAAAAGAACCATCCAATAAAAAAAATGATGAATAGCCACTTCAATCAATACATGCTGCAAGAGAATTTGAATTGTCAAGTGTCTGATTGTCTCCACGAGTAAACAAAAAGCCCACGTGCAAGAGAGGTAGGTATTTAACACATGCAGATTTAAATGACCTCGCTTTGGTAATGAACAGAACAGAGAAATGACTCGAGTCTTATAAATGTTGGTGAAATATTTAATCATACCGTTAAGGTAGTATGTTATGGTTCTGTGGCTAGTCTCATACTGAAATGTTATGATCTAATTCTGATTTATCAGCACCTCCGAGCCCTAACAAACTTTAGTTAGCTGGTCCCCTTCGATCACACACAACAGAAAGCAATAACTAAGTAAAATTAAAGATTCTTCTTGCAGTTGACAATTAAACTTTCACCAAAATTTTTTTACAATTATCAGCCCAAGCAAAACCCTCAGAGCAGACACTCACCAAACTTAATTAGGAAGCTGAATAACATGCCGCAGTTCTAAATTTTTTAAATATTTTGGTACTTGCTTTTTCAATGTTTCACTTTATAGATCTAATAAATTGCATCATATCAAGGGGGGAATCACATTAGCTAGCATGTAATACCTGGAAAGTTGTATCTTGGTCTGCCCACACAGTTTGCTGTATAGAAATTGGATATCTTGCAACAAATAGCAAATTGTTAATCTTGTCTACTGTAATCCCTACCCTTCTTGCTAATTCTTCTTTGGTTGGGTGAAGATTTCCTTCTTGAATGTACAATTTCTTTGCCTCCATTACTTTGCCCAATAGGGTAAATACACTCTCCTGGAGATAACACATTGGTTCTATATTACAGAAATAGAATTGATGCTTTCTTTGTAAATAGCAAAGATACTATAAAAAATGTTAATGCAATGGTAATATCATTTTTGTTTCTGTCAACAACTTAAAAGAGTTTCATGAACTCTGTCACTTCAAAAGGGTGAAGCTTAAATTAGACAATTAAATTTACCGGCAGACGGATTGTCCTGGAATTTTGACTTATGGCCTTCCTTATCGTTTGCCTTATCCAACAGTATGCATAAGTACCGAATCGGCAACCTACTCGGGGTTTATACTTTTTGACACTCTTCAAAAGACCCAGACGTCCCTCCTGCAACAGCGCAAGAAAAGAAATATAAGAGATATAGCTGCTATGTTGTAATTAACAACAATGAAGAGTTAAGACAATGATTACAAAAGAAATAAGAAACCCTTTAAGCAAAGCATTTTTGCCCAATTTATGCTCCAAGTCTAGCTAAACATTTATTTACGGGTTCTTCTAAATTGAGAAGTAATATAGAACATAACTGACCAGTAAATAAAATGTAAAAAAACCATTGCTATGGGGGAAGGAAGATCTTCAATTACTAGAAAGCTACCTGTACTAAGTCGTGAAGGCTGAGACCACGCCCCTGATAACTTTTAGCAACGTGGACTACCAAGCGCAGATTTGCTTGAATCAGCTTTTCTCTGCTTTTGTTACCACAATGAATCTGCTCCTGCAGCGCCCGACGGTTAAGTCCCACACCCTCAGCCCATTCAGTTATAGTTGGTTCCCGACCAAATTGATATTGAAGCCTGGTCTTCAATTCTTCCAATCTCAATAACTCCTGTTTACACATTCCACATTAATAGAGCATCCCATAGGTTTAAGGAAGTAAGGAATTCATGGTAACTGACATAACACCTGCGAATGAGCAACCAATTGAGACTCTTGTTCAAGTGTCAAAAGTTGTTTTGTTTCAGGACTCCACGAGAACAAGTGCTGGGGGTCATTTTGATCAAGTTCTTTATTTATCTTCTTCTTTTCCTTTGCATCATCCTTTCTTGTAAGGCAAGTCTCTTCGTCTTTAACTTTTGACTTTGGCACTTTTCTTTGCTTAGATCGTCTGTCTAGAAGCCGTGTTGACCTCACAAATTTATTGCTTCCAACTGAAGGGTCAGCAAAACTAGTGGAGGCCAGACTGAATGGAAGTTTTTATTTTAGGTATTATACTCCAAACAAATTAACCTATAAAGAGTAAAATAAATTAAGGATGTCAGAGTTGGCCAAGAAGATAGAACTAACCTAAAAGGAAGTGAATCATCATAATCATCAGCTTTAATTGATTTCAACTCTTCAGCTACTGATGCAGCTTGTTTTGAGGCAGACAAGGCTTTCTTAGCAAGAGAAGCTGCATTACATTGCGCACCATCTGCAGGCCTCTCTAAGTCAACAGTAAGATGCTGTAGAGTTGAAGAAGCAGCAATTTCTTCTGTTGGTAAGGAAGTTAATCTGCAATAGATCGTTTATGCACCTATAAGGAGAGAACTCAGGATGGGCAAAATTTCAAATTAGCAATTACTAACTGATTGAATTGACATGGAAAGACAGTTTTATTTGTCTTACAAGGTCCGTAAACGAGGCCAGAGCTGCAGGTGCTGCCTAAAGTCATGCACTAACTGATCAGCATTGCCAGTGTTATTCTCTTCGTGAACCGAGGCCATATCCATCTGCCTCGTATTTAATATTTTCTTTAGTAAATCAAAGGGAAGATTAATTGATAGTGTGTTCATTAGGTGATGAAGTAGAAAAACTCTATAAATTACAACCTATGCAACCAGTTAGTGCATTCCATGCAAAGAAGATGGCATCATTAATTTTCACAAAGCTAAAAGTTGATCTCAAAAGTTTTGATTCATTAAGACTATAACAAGAATGGAAAGTCAATCAATTCTAATTGATTCGACAGCAACTAAATAGTTGATGAAGTCGGTGTATCAACAAAATTTCAACCTGGGATGTCTTCTCTTCCTTAGACATCTGCAATAGAGGCCTATATTCATCATGCTTCTCTTGTAAAAGAACTGAGGTAGGAGAATTCTGTGCTGAAAAACTAGAAGACCAAGAGGCAACCGTAGGGGCAGCTCGGACACAGAGCATCAAAACTGCAGGTTTATAAGCATTCAGACTAACAGATTTGGTTGTTGTTGGGGCGGGGGGAATCACAGACGTACACACTATTTAAATGAAAGAGGGAATTTATGTGAAGACTGCAAGTAAATGGAAATCCACAAATTATCAGAAGTAATTCTTTAAGGGTACTAGCAAATTGAACTAGGTTTGTAAAAAAAATAAAAAATAAAAAATCCACAAAATAATAATAGCTCGGACAAAGATAACACAGATTGGAGAAATGCTAACAATACACTCTTCCTTCTCAACACAAGAGAGTGAACCTAGGTCATTATTCAGTGGAGACAGCATAGGATTTCACCTAGTAATAAAGAGTGTATTGAAAAGAAAGTGACAAAGAGCGTGTTGCTAGCATTCCTCCACCAATAAAGGCTGCGTGTGCACCAGCCACTCGAGGAATTAGAAAGACTATGAAATTAATTGGCTTATGGAATTTCAATAATATTCAAATTCATTATTAACATGTACAATACCAATACACAACGCATACAAAAAAGATACACAGGTTCCCAATGTAAAATCAAGCATAAATTGAATAGCATTGGTAAACTATAAACTGCAGTAACACACTAAAGATTTTCCATCCACGCCATTTTTTTATCTCTACTATCCTTAATTTAAAAATATCTTGTGCTAGATGGGAAGATAACACTAGATACAAAACACCATGAAGAATTGGGATCAAAACCAAAGCCGATTATAATCTTGCTTTAAGAACAACCGACACTAGATAACTAATAAAGAAAAAAAAATGGAATGCAGTAATTGAATTGTAATAACAGTACCAGAGGTAGAAGAAGATGAAGGAAAAGTGTTCCAATGGTGAGTTCTTCGACGAAAGGGTGGAGAAGAACAAAACATACTCCTTGCAGATTCCATAGCTGAAGTACTAGAATACCATGTCACATTAAACTAGTGTAGTAGTAGTAGTGGTGATGGTAACAGTAAGAGTAGCACGTTGCAGTGTATTTCATTGTATAGAATAGAAGATGTGCATGGAGAAAAAAGTGTTATTTCGGAGGGTAAGGTGGATATTCAGATAGATATAGATAATGCAGAAGCAAAAGACTTCGTAGCTTATCTTCAGACCTCAAACTTTTATCTTTTTCCGACACAGGATTAGGTTGTTGTTCTTTAAAGACATTATGCATATTTTATATATATGTGTGTGATAATGATCAATGTCCATTTGGGTTTGGGTCACTCTTTTTCCCACAAAATTGGGCTACCCTTTCTAAAATGGCCCATTTATTTTGGAACTAAATTCACTATTTTACACTGCCCCAAAACCCAATTTCGAGATTGGGTTTCAATAATTGTTTTTGCCGTCGCTTTAAATTTCGTATTATATTTTAGAAAATTTCTAGTTGTATTATATATGCTACGCATAAGGTTATTCCATACGGGTACATGTTTAATTATTATTTCAGATAAATTAATTTATTAATTGGATGTTTCTATTTTATTTTTTTTATATTATCACTTTTATTTAGTAATTTCTGTTATCATATTTTTTTAATAAAATTATATTGTTATAAATAATATGATTGTTGACTGTCAACTATGGTTATGATCGTTGACTGTTCTGTAACCACTAAGAAGTAATTGTGGTCATTTATCATATTGTAACCATCTTTGTCGTACGAGCCTATAAATAGAGGCAAAGTAGACTATAAAGAAGAAGATATTCTCCCATATTTCTCTCTCTTTATCTCTACTCTTCTATTTTATTTTTACTACCTCTATGGTTCTTCTAGTTTCCTATTATTTTACAACATATATCATTTTGTGGTGAATTTTTCCTTCTTTCATAAAATTAGAAACAGAGAGAAAGTGAGGAGAAATAACATAAAAAAATCATTAGTTATATACCAAAACGACGTTGTTTCATTTAAAATGACACAAAATTGTGTCATGACAAATATTTTTTTCATATTTTTATCCTATAAACTACTTTTCATAAAATTTAATAAATAATAAAATTGTGATTCTTTCTATAATTTTATGCAAATATAAGTATATTATTTTTAAAGGCTTAATATTTTTATTTTTGTTGTAGAAATTTTTTTCTATCATACTAACATAAAAGTGAGTGAACCATATTATAAGAGAAGAAGAAAAAATAGATTACCAAAAAAAAAAAAAAAGAAGAAGAAAAAATTATGGGACTCATTCACTTCTTCTTTTTTTGATAGACGGGACTCATTCACTTTTACATGAGTGTGACAGAAAAAACTTAATTATTAAATATTATAATGAGAAAAATTATTATAATCATGGACTTAATGTAAATAATTTATTTATAGAGTAACTGTAGAAAAAATGAACCCATAATTAAAACATCGAGACATTAACATATCAAATGTTATCTTAAAGTCTTATCTCATTTTACTTTCTCGTATGGTTTTTCTACAGTTTTTGAGTATCATATTAATTCTTATTTATGGTATTAAATTTGTCCAATTTGTGATTGTTTTTTCATGGGGTGTAAGTCCTTAACATTGCCAAAATTCCTCAACATTATGTCCCCTTAAGTGCCATATGCTAGTTTTATATACATTCACTCTCTCTTTTTCATTAGTAAACAACAATTTAAGAACAAAATGCTACCTCTCTATCATGTTTTTAGTGATGATATAAGAAACTTGGCTATTTATTAGAGAAATTAAAAAAATACTTTTTACTAAAAAATGAAAAAAAAAATTATTATTATGCACACCCAAATTTTCTTGGTCAACAAACGGGAAAATGTGCCTTGAAAATTGCTTATGACAAATTTTAATTCTTATAATTTTTATTCATTAAAAATTTTATCTTTATATTTTTTATTTTAGTCATTGTACTTTTTTGCTTATATGTAAGTTTAATGGCCTGATCTTCTGCTCATATGTTTGATTGGAGGCACTTTGTAGCTTTTAAACTGTTTTAGCTGATAGGGCCACTATATAATTTCTTGAATTATAGTTCTTGACATTAGTGGTGAACCTAGTGTGCATAGAGCTTGTTAGAATATATAGAATTGCTTGACACCTTTACTCCCTTGATAGTATAGCTGATGTTCAGGATTAATGTCAAATATCTTGACGAGTTTGATAAAGTCAGCACTATTGTTTCTGGTTTTTGCGAAGATTGTAGAGAAATTGCATAAGACTAATACCAAGAATAGAGATATTGTGGTCTGTCATTCACAGTGATATCAACGCAAACAGATTTTTGGTGACAAATTGTGTCAAGCTAGGAAGCATGGTTACATACATGGACATGGATTTGTACCACATCCACGTGAAGATATGACACATTCTGAAAATTATTAAACATGAAATGGCTTAGATACAACAAGCCTTAAATTAAAAACATCAATGTGTCATGAGTTAGCATTAGTCATTGCCGACACAATAAAATACTATCTTTTATCTGATCATTGTGGTATCCCACTTATGTTGGTACTCATATTCAAAAAATAATCAAAATATTTAGGCCAGAAGTATCCAATATCATGCGTTCCAAACACCGGTACTGCAACCATTATGAATTAAAAATGTTATAAAACTGGTTTCAATTTATTGAATTCATTTAATTACATTATGAATTCATTGATTTGCATCCTATTCATTCAAAAAAAATATTTGTTATAAAACCGGTTTTAATTTTGAAAACCGGTTTGTGGTTCATAACCAGTTTCGATTTAAAATCGGTTTTGAATTAAAACCGGTTTAAAATCGGTTTTAAATCAAAACCGGTTATAAACCACAAACTGGTTTTTAAACCGGTTTGGACAAATTAAAAATCAATTTTTTTTTAAAAAAAGTGGTTCGGTTTAAAATCCAAACCATTTAAAACTGGTTTGATTTGGTTTTTGACAATAACAAACTGAACCGCTCCATGCACACCCCTAATGCTAACTCGTGGAATATGGATGGTGTGACATCAAGAATATTTGACTCGATGTGGAATTAAATTATTATGTGGCTTCGTTTTCACCATAAGATTAAGGAGTTATATTGGTTTAGGATTTTAATATATTATTTTGAGTTAAATTTTTTTATAGATTTTAAAAGACTATATAGAATTGAAGTGATTTTAAATGCTTTTTTAAAAGAATTTTTTTACAAATTAGATTATATACGATTAAATTTGAAAAGATTTTAATGGAATTCATAAAATTTGAAAGATAATATTGAAATATTTTAAAAAAATCATAGGAATTTTTAACAAACATTTAAAGGTGATTCTTAGGAAAGATAATCAAATCAAAAATTTATATGCATAAAATTCATTAAAATTTTGTGATAACTTTGCATATTATTAGTGTGATGGAGCATGTTATTCACATTTAAAAAAATTTAATTCATTTTCATCAATATTTTTTAAAAATGTTTATTAAGATTATTATATGAAATTATTTATAGTAAATACAAATGTATTTATTCCAATTTAATAGATTATAAAGTGAAAAATAGGCATATGTACTGTACAATGGGCATTATTCTTCTGCTCATTGTCTTATCAAAGAGTAACTTGCATTTATTATGGTATAAAATGCTTAACATTGTTGATTAGATGCTCTTTAACTCAATGAAAGCAAGTTATGCAATTGCAATATCGATTTTTCTTTGTTATTCAACAAATTAATATTGAAATTTTGTCTCTCATTGTGTGCCTAATATGGTGCATAAAAGATCTTGAGAAATTTTTATCGACAATATACTGGTTTATTAAACATGTTTATCGTCAACGTATTACCAGTGCTACGATTATATAAAATAAAAAAATGTAATATGTCAGTAGAGACGACAAGCACAATCGTAAATCATCAATTAATTATGAAGAAGAATAACATAAAGAGAAATGTCAAAACCAGAGAAAATATATGAGAGTAAAAAAAGAACATACCTTGGTTTTGAAAAAATGCTAGGATAGATTGTGAAACACTGCAATAAAAAAATCTCAAGAAATCCCAGAGGTTATGGAGAGATTGTGAGAGAGACATGTTATTTATATTTCTCACTAAAAAGTTTCACGAAATCCACACCAATAGAAAATTCACTAAAATCGTCAAATTTTTAAATACCGCAAGATTGTTTTTCCTTTATTTAAAATCCTGATTGAATACTAGGGGTGTTCATCAACCGACTCAAATCGCGGTGACCGAACCGGAAAACTGAAAAAACAAAAAACCGAAAAAAATCACAAAATTTAATTAGATTGGATCGGTTTTTGGATTGGTTGGTGAAAATCGATCCAATCCAAACCGATCTAATGATTCATCAACCTTACCATCTACCTACTTGGGGCTTTCCCCAATCATAGCCCAAAAATTGTATAACAAAATTCTAAATCCAAGACTCATTAACCCATCATAAGTTGTGCTTGATACATAATATATTTTTATTACATGGATTATTGTTGCACAAGAGGTCCTCCATAGGATGAAAATTTGGATTATTTCGTATCTCAGGAACCACATAATAAAATTTTTGTTAGAAGTAAAAGATGGTAATTCAACTTTTTGTTGTACAATGCTTCTAGATTGCACAATAATCATTATATACATACAAAAGATATGTTATTTGCACATTAATCATCATATAAATATTAGGTTTTTCAAAAAATCGAAAAATCGATCCAATCCAAATCGAATAAAATTGGATTGGATCAGATGATTTTGGCTTTCAAAACCAATCCAATCCAGATCGTGAACACCCCTATTGAATACCATCCAATTTGGACATACTCTAAAATAGTATTTAAAAATTCTAATCAAATAATAAATATTTAATTGTTTTATTAATTTTTAATCATTTTATAATTAGATAGTAAATACTTTTTGGGATAATAGTAAATTAATTTTTAATTTTTATTCAATATTTTATTTTATTTTTCATTTTAATCAATATCCCGTTAACGACTTGTCGAGTGGGCGAAGGCTCTGAACCTATGCGAGAAGAAGAAGACTTGTTGGAACGAAGCGTTAAAAAGCCTAAGGATGTTGGCTTTGAAGACGCTACCATGGAAGGGGCTAACCTTGTAATAAGGGTTCAAGAGCCAAGCGCTGGATTGACCTCTGAAGGGAAACCACCGCAACCCAGGAGTATTCTTGATGG